ATGTAAAAGTGTATTTGTGTGTTTGTTTCTTTGTTTCTTTGTTTGTCCCATCGAAACGGAGTGACAGATTGGCGTGTTTTTGTATGAAAATAGTTGAAGGGCTGAAGAATGACGTAGGCTTCTTTTTATCACGGGAGATTATCTCATTCCCACGGGAAAGCATGTTAGAATACAACCCACAATAACTCATTATACCTATGTATATATAGTGTATCTATTCCATCCTAACCGTTAAAACGTACCTAGAGACGAACCCAAGCGAAACCGAGGGTGAGCCGCTAGTCTTTATATATATAATACTTCTGTGAGTGTGTATGTCACTAAACTTCTCTCAAACGACTGGACCGATTTTGATGAAATTTTTTGTGTGTGTTCAAGGGGATCTGAGAATGGTTTAGATTCACAATTTCAATAATAATTTTCATCAAAATGGTCCAGAATGTTTTAGCTTATTAAAAAAAGTTTGAAATTTTCAAATTAAAGACGTGTAGACAGGACAACGTCTGTCGGGTCCGCTAGTAAAATATAAAGGATAGTCAAAATTCAATAAAAGTTTTTTAATCTCGAGAGCTATATTACAATTTTTCTAAAGTATATGCAACAGTTGATTACTGGTTGCAAAATTCAGATTTTTACCCGTTATCGCATTGCTGTTGTTGTAATTAAAAATGTATTATGTCTCCACTACTGATGCAGATCAGTTTCCACTCGCAATCTCGTTTATTTGCGTACTCTCGTAATATTCCATTTCATCTGGCCCGTTTTCTGTGATTACTATTGCTTACTGCTGCATATTTGTCATAGGATTTTATTAATATGTGGCTTTATAAATATACATATGTAAGTAAAAGTGGAGTTTTTAGCTTTAGAGATTTAGCCTCGCTTCGCTCGGTGTGAATGCCTCATCGCAATCCAACGGTTACAACCCTTTCAGCTTAAAGAAGTAACAAAATACATACTCGTACATGCGTAGTTATATGCAAAATTTCATATTTATATAAATTTATATAAATATGAATAATTTGAATTTATTCAAAAATTAAGATACGATAGTATTAGAAATGTTACAGTTAAATGAAAGCATCTGTGAAACTAAAAATTATTAAAAATACAAAAAAATTGAAAAATTTGTCAATTTTTTTTGATAAACTTGATAGTTTCGTCAAAAAATTGGAAAAAAATTAGAAAAATATTATAAATTATAAATTATATTTTAAAGTTGAATAACTTCGAAACGCGTCAGTTTATCGAAAAATTATAAGAAAACTTTTTTGTAGAGCGTTCAATTTTATACAAGAAAATGATTTGGTCTAACCTTTTTGATGAACGATTAAAGAGTTATAAAATTCTAAACTCAAAAATGGGAAATTGAAATTTATCATGCGGGATATCTTAATATTAATATTAAGGGCTGTGGCTTTCACAGGTTTTTTTTTCATAATTTCCAACAATGTATGTATGTATGTATTCAGCCCTTTTTAACGTCCCACTGCTGGGCACGGGCCTCCCTTCAATACGAGGGGGATCAGGCCATAGTCCACCACGCTGGCCAAGTGCGGGTTGGCGGACTTCACATGTCTTTCGAAAACTAAGTTCTCTCAGACATGCAGGTTTCCTCACGATGTTTTCCTTCACCGTAAGGCAAGTGGTAATCATGTTAGAAATGATTCGCACATGAAAATATCAGAGGTGCGAGACCCGGGATTTGAACCCGCTTCACTCGGTTTCCCAAGCGAGAGCGTTACCTGGGCTGGGCTACCACTGCCTTCCAACAATATTTTCGATATATTTAAGAAAAAAAATAGTAGATTTTTTGAATCAGTCTAATATATACATATTTAGTATGTGATGTGATATGCCTTACTTTCTTCTACCAAACTGCATACAGGCGCCTTTAGTGCAATAAACTATATCTCACGTCAACTATTTGACGTAATGAGATAAAATTACGGGATTCTCCGTTCCATATATCACCTTTATTCAAAATGTCACGTCGTCCAGTCGATGTTTAAAAGATAAACAAATCAACAAACTACACAAATATTGTTAAAAACTAGCCTGCACCACGGATTCGGATGGCAATCTTGACGATATCTTGTTTTGAAGATTCTGGTTTTCTACTTTCTCAGTTTTATAACTCATTGTGAATTACGCTCATTGAATAGTTGTATTCATTAACGTAACAAAGGCTAAGCTTATTAGCTCTAAAACCAGAAAGCGTGCTAGGGAATCATTTTACGGTGTATATTATTACGGTGTAATAAACTATTTTATTATTTCATTTTAATAAAGATTTCTCTGAGATGAGATATTTTCCCACAGTAAAAAGTATTCTAAATGTTAACCCGGATAACCAGCTATCATGATACCAAATTTCATCAAGATCCCTCCAGTGATTTTTCTGTGATGCGGTAACAGACAGACAGACAGACAAAAATTCTAAAAACTGTAGATTCGGCCTCTGTATCGATAATAATGTTTATTTCAATAAGATTTTCCAAAAGATATCAAAGTATATACAGATTCGGCTTAGTTACAATTTTATTATATGTATAGATAAGATGAAAATTGAGGAATACCTTTTGTCGGAGATCCTTAACAAAATAAAAGAAAAATAAAAGAAATGAAATATTTTATTAGAAAAAAATAATAATGACGTAAGATTGTGGTTTGATAAAAAATAATTATTTTCAGAAGAAATACATGCAGAATAAAATAATTTTTATGAAGGATGTTTCATAAAAATATCGAAACCTACGGGTTTGTCAACCGACTTCAAAAAGGAGGAGGTTCTCAATTCGACTGTTTTTTTTTATGTTTGTTACCTCAGAACTCCGTCATTTAGTAACCGATTTGGACAATTTTTGTGTTGTTTGAAAGTCGAAAATATTTGATTAGGTATGTATAGTAAATAAAAAATTACCAATCAGTTATTTTTTACTTTTTAGTGCTTTTGTTTGAAGTCGGTTTTTATTTTTTTTGTTAAAAAGTTTTTATGTTTTATATAATTTAAATAATATAAAAAAATCCTCCCAGTAATTTTTACATACATGTGACTATGTAAAAGTAAACAATTTTGTTTCTATTTTATAAACAAGAAACTAAGCCGATAGCGTAATAGCTCGTTGATATCTGCCTCATGATATCATCCTTGACACCGTACCCATTATAATCACTTTATTTGTACAACATCTAATTGATTCTCTACCTCCTAGATAACTACATAAACAACTTTTCAACAATAACTGACTCAACTGAATCAAGATTCATCACATTATTGTCAAACTAAATCTAAGTACTGAATTATTTTCCAGAGATTTGTTTTGACTTTATTTTACCTCTTGTTAATATGTCACCAAGATTGATAAACATTATAGTATGGTATATTCCAAAAGTTGTTCTCTGTATTCTATAATAAAAAATGAATGCTATGTCTATTTGCCGTTATATATTGGGCGTTAAATGTTTAATTTATCCATGGACCTTAATTACCTGTGACGTTTCAGTCACTTATTTATTACAACACTTATTTGATACTATATAAGATCTATATACTACTAAGACCACTATAGATAGGTATTATGAAATAAAACTCGTAACTGATTCACAATGTCGCACACGTCCGCTCTCTGTGGTAGTTGGAGTCCAAGTGTCAAACGATGACACTTTTTCTCACTACCCGAGATCAGTGTGTGCAACTAACTACCTTTATTATAAAATATAAATCATCACATTACCAACATTATTATTTTCAAAATATAAGGTTTTACTTGAGCTAGGTTAGGTTACTTACTTCACTGCCAGACAGTGCTTCTTATTTAATTGTATCCCTATATGAATGGGAAATCACAGAATCAATAAGCAGTTCATGTCAAATAGACAAACATATAAAGTAAAACACTCTATCCATTGGTGAAAATAGCTTAAAAATCGGTGCAGTAGTTTTTGAGTTTGTCGCGAACAGACAACAGACAGACAGACGCAGCGGAGGACTTTGTTTTATAATATGTAGTGATAGGTATAACGGATAGTAGGTATTTTGAAATGTCTCAAGAGGTTGTAGCACTGCAATCTTTCCAAAGTCGAATTGATAGAAAAATCGATACAGAGGTGGAATCTATGGTTTTAGATTTTTTGTCTGCCAGTCCGTCTGTTTGTTTATCTATCTGGGAACGCATCACGAGAAAACGACTGAACAGATTTTGATGAAATCTGATATGGTGATAGCTGGTTATCCAGGTCAACATGTAGGATATTTTTACTCCAGAAAAGTATCTCTTACTTATTATTTTTAAATTTAAAAAAAAATTACCATCGGATTCATATGTAAATCCTAATTAGGTTTTTGGTCGCCTAAACGCGGGTGGTGCCGCGAGTAATGCTAGTATATTTATAATGACTTAAGTAATGAATTATTGTATTAGAATATATTTATCTCTTTACAGTGTATTTAGTAAAGAAAGATAAGACATAATATTTTATACTAGAAATCTACCCGGGAATCCCTTTCCATTTCCCACAATAAAATGTACCTAACTATGTACTGTAGTGAAATTAAGCACTAGTGACCTTCCCCTTAGAATCCCATAGCAATACATCTTCTGTAGCGGAATACAAAACTTTTACACCGGTTATAGGTACAAGTGGCACAAAGTGTCAGTTCCGCCCATGAAAGCCTTATTAAAATATGTTTAGTTATTCCCAGAAGACCCGCCAAGAAAACAAACATACAGACAAATTTTATGTAATGCTTTTTTACCATAAGGGCTCAATTTGGTTTAACTATGTTTTAATATAGAGACAGACATTTCGACTTAGCTTATGAATTTAGACTTAAAGGTCATATATGTAAATAGCCTCAATGTCTGCTATTATTTATTATATTGATAACATTTTATTGTTTTTCTAATATTGTTAGTAGTTCTGTTTTAAATACTGATGTAATCTATACGTTCATATAGAAATAATTTTATTCATCAAGTTATTGTGTAAAAATTAATATGACATTTTGCGGTAAAGTAGTTCTCGTGACCGGCGGTAGTTCAGGAATAGGTGCTGCTACAGCTATAAAATTTTCTGAGGAGAAAGCAAAAATTACTATAGTCGGACGGAATAAGACTAAACTGACTAAAGTAGCGCAACAATGTGAAAAAAACCATCAACCCTTTATTATAATTGCTGATTTAACTAAAGAAGAAGAAATGAAAGAGATAATAGATAAAACGGTCAAAAATTATGGGAAATTAGACATTTTAGTAAACAATGCAGGCGTTGTTCGTTTTGAAAGTATTCTTTCAGAGAAAGCTTTAGAAACGTTTGATAAGGTCATGGCTATCAACTTAAAAGCTACAGTACATCTAACACATTTTGCAGCTCCACATCTAATTAAAACCAAAGGGTGCATAGTGAACATTTCCAGTATAGGATCAACTGCTATTATGCACGAAGAAAACTTTGCATATAGTACATCTAAAGCAGCGTTAGACCAATTTTCGCGATGTGTGGCTTTAGAGCTATCTACACAAGGAGTTCGAGTAAATAACGTCAATCCTGGTCCAGTGAAGACTGACTGTTTGAATGAACTGATCCCTGATATTAATGAGAGAGAAAAAGAGTGGGGACAATATGCCGGTCTGACACCTCTTGGAAAATTAAGTAAACCTGAAGAGATAGCTGATATAATAATGTACTTAGCAGGTGATAAAGCTAAAAGCATTACAGGTTCTTCATTTGTTATCGACAATGGATTGTTGTTAAGAAAGTGATGAAATTGAATGTTTGATCATCGTTTATCATTTCAATATAATTGTTATTTGTTTCATTCAAAGATTAATATATAAATAAAAATAGAGAAATAGAATATAATAGTATGTGAATATTTGATTTTTTTGGTGTATTTTATTTTTTATTTATCACTAGCGACTCACCCTCGCTGCGCTCGCGTTCGTCCCTAACGTGGGCCACCCTTATCACTTAGGGGTATGAAAAATAGATAGTAGCCGATTCTCAGACCTACTGAATACGCATATAAAATTTGGTAAAAATCGGTAAAGCCGTTTCGGAGGAGTACGGTAACTAACATTGTGACATGGAAATTTTATATATTAAGATTATATATTACCTACTAAGGTACAATTGCCTACTTTAATCCCTACTGTTTTAATACGAGCCTGCAATTAGATATCTCAAGTTGTATCTTTAGATGAGTTTATCGGAGTAAAATGAAATTAACTATCCTGCGCATTCGAAACCCCTAATAACTTTCGATACGGCTAGTTAAAGCAAAAATAAATGTTTGAATTGGCTCTCATGAAGTTAGCTTGGTCGAATATGGAATAAACTTTATAATAATAGAAGTAAACAATAAATTATATTATATTAGATTAAGGAAGAAAAATGTTCCATTTTTCATTTAAAGAAGTCTATTATAATTCTAATATGGTTAACTTAATTATTTTAAGGTTAAATAAAAAAAAATATGATAATTTTATTATTACAATCTAGTGATATACGTTTGCTTCAATTAAGTTCTTCGTTTTTTTTTCTTACAATATTTAAATCTCGCGGGATCCATACGGTGTGCCAGTATAAAAAGTACAGCACTCTTCATATAAAATTCTTAACACATATACTAAGTTTTGCTGCTAAGTAAAAGACGGACAGGACAAACCAATCAACATATCTTAATTTAGTTATTGAAATAGACATTATTATCATTACAAAGGCCGAATCTATACTTTTTAGAATTTTTGTCTGTCTGTCTGTCTGTCCGTCCGTCCGTCCGTCCGTCCATCCGTCCGTCTGTCTGTCTGTCTGTCTGTTACCGCATCACGTAAAAACCACTAAAGGGATTTTGATGAAATTTGGTATAATGATAGCTGGTTATCCGGGTCAACATATAGGATACTTTTTACAGCGAGAAAATATCTCATCTCTGAAAAATCCATACTAAACGTTAAAACGTAAGTAGGGACCAACCCGAGCGAAGCTAGGTTGAGTCGCTAGTTATTCCTAAGTAAAGAAAAAATTAGAGATAATCTCTCTTATAACTTTTACAGGTATATCAGGCAGGCTACAGAAATGTATCGTCATTGAATAGGGTACGCATTTCGCATTGAATGAACAGTAGAAATCAATCGGAACTGACAGGTTCCACTGCTATTGAATCTCGATGTGTTGATGTCGGTAATGTTTATTTACTACCGGTTGGTCAAACAAAGACAAACGGACCTATATATCATTTGTACGAGTATATGTGTTACTTGTGGTGAGTTTTGAATGAAATAAAACTTAAACATATATCTATTTTATCATGCTTTCTTATTATATTATATATTTTATTTAAAATAAAACCATCTTTTAGGATTTTTAACCGAATTCCAAAAAGGAGGAGGTTTTCAATTCGTCAGAACCTTTTTTTTATATATGTTCACTGATTACTCGAAGACGCCTGAACCGATTTGGATTTTTTTTTTGTTTCAAAGGGTGCCAGCCGACAATATTTTAAGATATGAGTATGTGTTTTACGTATCGAAATATATTTGCTTTGCATCGGCTGGCACTGACTTCGAAAATATCTGATTAGGTATCTATTCTAAATTAAAACCCAAGTTTAGTTATTTTTTACATTTTAGTGCCTGGAAATCGGTTTTCATTTTTTTCGTCTTTTTTGTGTCTATTTTTTGTGATTCAAACTATATTATAAAGAAACATGATGTAAGTTCATCCAGTCTTTTCGAATGGTGCGCAATTAAAGAGAAGGCCAAAAATTCTAAATACTGATAAAATTGATTTAATTACTTTGAACTTCATGCTTAGATCGCGCGAAAAATGTCTACTTTCATTTATTTCATAGCCGTCGTTCGTAGATTAGACAAGAATGCGTGATAAACATTATTCAAACTTACTTGATTTAACAAAATTCAATACTAACAGCCTTCTCTTTTGTACCTTATGGAAATATTCCGATAATTTAAGAAATTTCATTAAAGCTAAAGATGTTACATGTCATATGTGTATTATTTATCACATTTTATACCTAAAGTTGACACTTATCCTACTTTATAATCTTCCAATTTTAACTGTTGCAAATATATTTTTTTCGTAAAAGAGAGAGAGATAGAGAATTTTTGGTATGATTTAGTCAATGATTAACCCAAATATGCCATGCAAATTGTCTTGGTGGTCTAGTGGATAGCATACACTGCTGCAGATCCGGAGGTCCTAGATTCTTGTCTCAGGTAGGACCAAGTTTAATTGGGTAGTAGTTTAGTTTTCTTGTCAAAAAAATCACAGTAATAGATCGGAGTTAGAATGTCGGCGGTGTTTCACTCCCGCGCCTCAGAGAGCACTTAAAGTCGGTACTGTACCTGATATCTCATCGGTCGTGTAAAATTGTCGTCCCATTGGACTTTGAGAGTGACAGGTTTAAAGAGTGCACTGGTGTTTCCACGCAAACGCGCACTATCATATTATACCTTACATATGGCTTGTCTCAGTGAGATTGGTCGCCTTAACTGAAATCGATCTGGAGGACATCATGCCATGCCATACGTTACAATTGTGACAAACAAATAAACAAATAAATAATAGTGTTCCGTATTCCTATATGCTAACAAAAATCGACATAAAGCTGTATCTATATCAATTTTACTTTTGATTGCCTTTTTAATAGTTTTTTTACACACTTTCACCGCGTTTTCTGCAGCCCCATTTGAAGCGGGGTGGTAGGGGGCTGAGAAAATTTGACCTATTCCGTTATTGTTTAAAAATGTACTAAACTCCGCACTAGAAAATGGGGGGCCGTTATCGCTCACTACTTGCTTTGGTAAGCCAAATCTCGCCCATATCTCTCGCAACACTGCGATAACCGATCTGGCATTAGTACTTTTCATTTTAACTGCTTCAATCCATTTTGAACATGCATCTACTATGATTAAATAAGTTACCCCTTGTATTGGACCCAAGAAATCAAGATGTAATCTAGACCATGGACGATCCGGCCAAGGCCATGGGCGAGACTCGTGAGCTGGAGGAGCGTCGGCTACGCTCGCGCACACGGCACATGCGCGACAAGCCGCCTCGATAGCCTCGTCCAATCCGGGCCACCACACATAACTTCGCGCTAGAGCCTTTGTTTTTACCATGCCCATGTGAGATTCGTGTAATTCCTCTATTACTTTACTCCTACAAACCGACGGAATGACAACTCGGTGCCCCCACATGATGCAACCTAGTTCGTTATACAATTCTGTTTTTCTATTAAGATACGGTTTGAGCTCTCTTAATTCGACGTCGTCCGGCCATCCGTCCGTTATATAGCTCAATACTCGGCTAAGTAAGGGATCCCTAACGGTCTCTTTTTTTAACATGTTATAATCTAATAAGAGCGCTTCGGTAGCGAAATGTAAGTATGTCTGTTCAGGTACTTGTTCCTCGGTGGCGGCGCCGGGAACCGCTTCTTCTTTGTGCGCTTTTATTAACCGCGAAAGCGCATCCGCCGTGTTTCTATCCGTGTCTATGTATTCTATGGAAAAATCGTAGGCAGAAAGCTTAATCGCCCACCTCTGTAACCGACTCGCTGCCGTTGTTGGGATACCAATATTTGGTCCAAAAATACTAACTAACGGTTTATGATCCGTCCGTAACACAAACTTTCTACCAAATAAATATTGATGAAATTTACCTACAGCAAATATTATAGCTAATGCCTCTTTATGGATTTGACTGTAATTTTTTTCAGCACACGTAAGTGCCCTCGAGGCGTATGCGACCGGTCGCTCCGAGCCGTCCGGCGCGCGCTGCGCCAGCACCGCGCCTAATCCGTACGCGCTCGCGTCACACGTCACCACCGTCTCCCGGGACATATCATAATGAACCAACACATCTGTACCACACAAGAGTTTTTTCACGATAACGAATGACTCTTGCTGTTCTTTCCCCCATTGATAATGTCTACCTTTTTTCAATAGTTTATAAAGTGGGGCTAAATACAATGCTAAACCTTTAACAAACTTGCCGTAAAAATTAACCATTCCCAAAAATGATTTTAGTTCCGTTGTACTCCGCGGAGGTGGCATATTTACTATAGGCTGTATTTTATCCGGATTTACTCGTACTCCTTTTTTATCTACAATGAAACCTAGATACTGCACTTCTTCAGCAAAAAATTCGCATTTATTCTTTTTAATCTTAAGCCCGTTCCTTTCTAAAATATCAAACACTTGTTCAATTGTTTCACAATGACTCTTAATATCCTTATTTTTGATTAAAATATCGTCATAAAATATTATTACTCCGGGTACATCTTTAAATAAAGTTTCCATAAATTTTTGAAAGATACCTGGGCTTGATGCTAGCCCATAAACAAGGCGATTATATTTGAACAACCCCCTATGGGTATTGATCACTGTGTAAGCTCTCGATGACTCATGCAAAACTAGTTGATTGTACGCTTGAGACAAGTCTAACTTCGTAAAATATTCATTGCCACTAAGGTCACTAAACAAATCGTCCATTTTAGGAACGGGATACCTGTCGACCATTAAGAATCGGTTCAGTGTTACTTTATAGTCAGCGCATATACGTATACCACCATCTGCCTTACTTGCTATAACGAGCGGCGTTGCCCAGTCCGAGCGCGCCACGGGCTCGATGACGCCGGCACGCAGCATTGCATCCAGTTCCGCTTCGACGCGCGCGCGCAGCGCATACGGCACTGGTCGGGCGCGGCAAAACACCGGCGAAGCACCCTCGCGCAAAT